AAAAGTCCATTACAAAAATCGATGTGGATGTAAGATATATAAACAAAACAAACAAGAATTTTGTCCAAGGCATTTAGAAATGGTTCATTTGATCGGAACCATGATAAAAATTATGATTATATCAGACTTATTTTTAACCCAGGAGAGATATTACAAATTATTGATGATGCCTATATGCCATTTTAAACAGGCATGTGAGGAAAATAATATTTTGATATTGTCTTGCAGAACCTACAGAGGCATTGGAAGAGTCAATAAGCAAGGGATATACTGCCCAAAACATAGCAGATATATATACAAATGTATTGTAAATTACATAGCATTATAATGAACAGTTACTTATATAATTCTTTACTGTTTTTACTCTTAAAAGATTATTATGCTCCCCGAAGGGAGAGCATATAGTCGCCACCTTGTCCGCCTGTCCGTCCGTTGTCTTATCCGGTTGTTTGTTTCATTTTACGCCTTTTTCCAACAGTATTTCAATCATATAGGCGGGTAGTTTCCTAACCATCGTCCTGGAGAGTTACACCAGTACTAGACAACCTTCCTCCGCGCTAAACTACCAAAGCATCTCCCGGGGATCGAACCCACGCCAGGTCTTGTCCGGAGCATAACTTGAAAACCCTTGGAGATAATTTGTTTGAACTCCACACTGTGGTAGAGGGCATTGAGGCGAAGTGCAGTGTCCAAGAACCATAACTCTATTTTGGCCGGTTTTTGAATAATCTCTCCTTTAAGAAGGAGGGACATAACGCTAAAACCATAAGAGATATCAACATGAAAATATGTAGGTAAATAGATATCAATGGGTAGATGTGCAGTGCACAAGAACGATAACTCTTTTTGCCTTATTTTGGAGTTATTGCCCTTTGTTCATTTTAACACTTTGAACTTTTTCCCCAACATAACTCTTAGATTAAGAGATATAAGCATGAAACATTGTAGGTAGATAGATCTCGTTGAGTAGGTTTGAAGTGCAAAAGAATTATTATAATTATGCCCCCATTTCGAAGAAAAGGGGGTATATTGCTTTGCACTTGTCGGTCCGTCGGTCCGTCGGTCCGTAGACCAAATGGTTTCCGAGTGATAACTAAAGAACCCTTAGGCCTAGGAACTTCAAACTTGGTATGGTGATTGGTCATGACCAGTGGATGACCCCTATTGATTTTGGGGTCAAGGGGTCAAAGTCAAGGTCACATTGACCTTGAAGCAAAAACGGTTTCCGATCAATAACTAAAAAACTTAAGGCCTAGGAACTTCAAACTTGGTATGGTGATTGGTCATGACCAGTAGATGACCCCCTATTGATTTTGGGGGTAAGGGGTCAAGGTCACATTGACCTTGAAAGCAAAAACGGTTTTCCGATCAATAACTAAAGAACCTTAAGGCCTAGGAACTTCAAAACTTGGTATGGTGATTGGTCATGACCAGTAGATGACCCTATTGATTTTGGGGTCAAGGGGTCAAAGGTCAAGGTCACATTGACCTTGAAAGCAAAAACGGTTTCCGATCAATAACTAAAGAACCTTAAGGCCTAGGAACTTCAAACTTGGTATGATGATTGGGCATGACCAGTAGATGACCCCTATTGATTTTGAGGTCAAGGGGTCAAAGGTCAAGGTCACATTGACCTTGTAGGTAAAAACGGTTTCCGATCAATAACTAAATAATCTTAAGGCCTAGGAACTTCAAACTTGGTATGGTGATTGGTCATGATCAGTAGATGACCCCTATTGATTTTGGGGTCAAGGGGTCAAAGGTCAAGGTCACATTGACCTTGCAGGTAAAAACGGTTTCCGATCAATAACTAAGAACCTTAAGGCCTAGGAACTTCAAACTTGGTATGGTGATTGGTCATGATCAGTAGATGACTCCTTTTGATTTTGGGGTCAAGGGGTCAAAGGTCAAGGTCACATTGACCTTGTAGGTAAAAACGGTTTCCGATCAATAACTAAAGAACCTTAAGGCCTAGGAACTTCAAAACTTGGTATGGTGTTTGGTCATGATCAGTAGATGACCCCTATTGATTTTGGGGTCAACGGGTCAAAGGTCAAGGTCACATTGACCTTGAAAGCAAAAAACGGTTTCCGATCAATAACTAAAGAACCTTAAGGCCTAGGAACTTCAAACTTGGTATGGTGATTGGTCATGACCAGTAGATGACCCCTATTGATTTTGGGGTCAAGGGGTCAAAGTTCAAGGTCACATTGACCTTGAAAGCAAAACGGTTTTCCGATCAATAACTAAGGAACCTTAAGGCGTAGGAACTTCAAACTTGGTATGGGTGTGGTGATTGGTCATGATCAGTAGATGACCCCTATATGATTTTGGGGTCAAGGGGTCAAAGGTCAAGGTCACATTGACCTTTTAAGCAAAAACGGTTTCCGATCAATAACTAAAGAACCTTAAGGCCTAGGAACTTCAAACTTGGTATGGTGATTGGTCATGATCAGTAGATGACCCTATTGATTTTGGGGTCAAGGGGTCAAAGGTCAAAGGTCACATTGACCTTGTAGTAAAAACGGTTTCCAATCAATAACTAAAGAACCTTAAGGCTAGGAACTTCAAACTTGGTATGGTGATTGGTTATGACCAATCAGATGACCCCTATTGATTTTGGGGTTAAGGGGTCAAAGGTCAAGGTCACATGGACCTTGTAGGTTAAAACGGTTTCCGATCAATAATGAAAGAACCCTTAGGCCTAGGGACTTCAAACTTGAGATGGTGATTGGTCATGATCAGTAGATGACCCCTATTGATTTTGGGGTCAAGGGGTCAAAGGTCAAGATCACATTGACCTCTTAGGTAAAAACGGTTTCCGATCAATAACTAAAGAACCCTTAGGCCTAGGAACTTCAAACTTGGTATGGTGATTGGTCATGACCAGCAGATGACCTATTGATTTTGGGGTCAAGGAGTCAAAGGTCAAGGTCACATTGACCTTTTAGGTAAAAACGGTTTCCGATCAATTAACTAAAAACGCTTAGGCCTAGGAACTTCAACCTTATTGTGATGATTGGTCTATGACCAGCAGATGAACCCTATTGAGTTTTAGGTGAAGGGGTCAAAGGTCAAGGTCACATTGACCTTGTAAGTAAAAAATTTTCTGATCAATAACTCAAGAAACACTTAGGCCTAGGAACTTCAAACTTGGTATGGTGATTTGTCATGACCAGCAGATTACTCCTATTGATTTTGGGATTAAGGGGTCAAAAGGTCAAGGTCACAATGACTTGTAAGTAAAAACGGTTTCTGATCAATAACTAAAGAACGCTTCGGCCTAGGAACTTCAAACTTGGCATGGTGATTGGTCATGACCAGCAGATGACCCCTATTGATTTTGGGGTCAAAGCTCAAGGTCACATTGACCTTGTATGTTAAAACGGTTTCCGATCAATAATAAGAGAACCCTTAGGCGTAGGAACTTCAACCTAGGCATGGGTGATTGGTCATGACCAGCAGATGACCCCTATTGATTTTGGGGGTCAAGGGGTCAAAGGTCAAGGTCACATTGACCTTGTAGGTAAAAACGATTTCTGATCAATTTAACTAAAAAACGCCTAGGCCTAGGAACTTCAAACTTTGTATGATGATTGGTCGTGACCAGCAGATGACCCCTATTGAGTTTTGGGTCAAGGGGTCAAAGGTCAAGGTCATGACCAGTAGATACTTTATAACCCTTATTAATTGTTTGATCACTGGGTCAGAAGTCATGCATAATAACCTTATCACATGACTAATTGGCTGCTGATAGGGGGCATACATGTTTTACAAACATATCTTGTTTTGTTTAGCCTCATTTTTGAATTATTTTCCCTTTTAGAAAAAATCTTGTCCAGTTCATAGCTGTAAAACTATAAGAGATATCAACATGATCCTTTGTAGGTAGATAGATCTAAATAGGTAGATGTGCATTGCACAAGAATCGTAGCTCTGCCATTACTTATTTTGGAGTTATTGCCCTTAGTTTATTTTTACTTTTTGAACTTTGTCTGGGACATAACTCTAAAATTGTAAGAGACATCAACATGATACTTTGTAGGTAGATAGATCTCACTGAGTAGAAGTGCAGTACGAAAGAACCATATTTCTGTTTTGCTCCATTTCTGAATTATCTCCCCCTTTAAAAAAATCTTGTCCGGGACATAATTTTAAAACTATAAGAGATATCAAAATCAAACACTTAAATTCCTGTGTCCAAAACCTATTTGGTTAGCATCACCCATTTCAAACATGGCTCTTGTTCACAATTTTTTAACTGAAAGTATTCTGAATATGCTTGCTGTGCTGTTCATATTGATAACCAATGTTAAACTACAGAAAATATATGAATGTATCACAGTACAGCAAAGGTGATGCATTTCAACGTTGTTAAAACATTCTTTTTTATTTTGTAATACATTAAAATCTCATTGATATGCTGTTCGTGGACCACTATCAGAAAATAAACTCAGACAGTTATGTTGGAAATCAGTAAAAAACTTCAAACAAAGGAGTTAAGTTTACATCATAAGCATTTAAATTGTTACAAATTTAATTGTTCATTCTAGCTCAAGCACTTTTATAGGTATACACATGTCACAACAATTTGAAATGTTTTTACTTAGTTAATAGCAATCCCACTACAATTTTATGATACTCAATAAAAACACAAGCAAACCCCGAGGTGAACAATTACACAAGTTGACCAAATTTCTGTTGTGAAAAGTTCTCAAGGTCAAATATTTTTGGGCTACGTTCAACACATGCTGAAAATTATAAATTTCTTACTAAGTAAAAGGCAATAACTCTACAACGACGAGCAATCCCCAGGTGCATATGCTGACCTCAATGAACAGGCATGTAAACTTTAATGACTCCCTGTAAGGTTTTTCTACATTTTCTACATTCTAGCAGTAAAAGTGAAAAACACAGGTATCAAGTATTTTGCATTTTGATTATTGTCAAGAAAAACACATATAAATTCAGAGATCTAAAGATCTCAAATGTAACACCCAATCTACTTGATGTAATGAACATTCTGAACCTTATACATTTGTTTCACTCGTCAATCAATCTCTTTACAGGTAGTAGAATGGATTCAAACAAGCAGGCTGCGACAGAAGTTTATTTGAAGCTATTACATGGTAAGTAAGGATCCCATGTTGTGAAAAGTTACATGTTGTGACTTAAAAGCCGAAACAAGACTGTGTCAACGATGATACATCTACATGCTTTACTGTACTGGTATCCAAATTGATGACTTACAATTTATTTTAGTATATGTACAAATAAGATGTACAGGGCTCACAGCAAGGGAGTCAGGACAAACTGTTTAAATGTTCTCCCCTTTGGATTTTAAGACAGAACATGATAAAGTCAAGGTTGCCTACTAGAAGTAAGTCCTGAGCTGCTATGTTGTCATGGTGATGCTAAGGGGAGAGTTGTATGCAGCTATTTGTGTATATATGGGGCTACTCCTTGTTGAAAGTACTGGTGTAACTCTCTAGGAACGATGGTTAGGAAACTACCCGCCTATATGACTGAAATACTGTTGGAAAAAGGCGTACAATGAAACAAACAAACAAAAGTTAAAAGCCAATCAGAGGATGGTTTATAAAGAAGCGTTAATCTTTAATAAGTTTACACTGAACAACATTCTCCGTAGAGTACAATGAAGTTTTAACAGCTTTCAAAACACCATAAGGGGCTTTTTTAGTTAACCTGTTGCAAAGTGACTTGGTGAGCTTTTGTGATAACTTTTTGTCCGGCGTCTGTCCGTTTGGCGTCTGTAAACTTTTACCTTTAAAGACATCTCCTCATAAACCGATAAGTCGATTTCATCCAAACTTCATGGGAATGGTCCTTTGATGGTCACCTTTGAAAATTGTTCAAAGAATTTTATTCAATGCAGAAAGAAAAAACTTAAAACATCTTTAAAAACCCAAAGAGGTAGAGCTTAGATATTTGGCATGAAACATCTTCTAGTGAGTATCTATCAAGTTTGTTCAAATAAAAGCCCTGGGGTCAAAATTGGCCCCTCCCCAGGGGGTCATTGCTTTTCTTTATATGTATATAGTAAACACTTAAAAAATCTTCTTTAAAAAAAACGAAAGAGCTAGAGCTTAAATATTTTGCAAGAAAAATTGTCTGATGAGTGTCTACGAAGTTTGTTCAAATAAAAACCCTGCGTTCGAAATTGTAGTAAAAACTTCAAAATTTTCTTTTAATAACCCATAGAGCTAGAGCCTAGATATTAAGTATTCAACATCTTCTAGTAAGTGTCTTCCAATTTGTTCAAATAAAAGCCCCAGGGTTAAATTGGCCCCACCCTGATGGTCTGATTTTCCTTGTATGTTTATTGTAAAAACTTAAAAAATCTTCTTTTAAAAACCCCAAAGAGCTAGAGCTGAAATATTTATTATGAAACATCTTCTAATGGGTGTATACAAGTTTGTTAAAAAAAGACCCTGGGTTAAAATTAGCCCCGGCCTATATACAGGTGAGACATCTCAGGACCATCATGGCTCCTTGTTAATAGCCTCTTATCCTGTTTTAGAATCGATACATTTTTAGCTCGACTATTCGATAAGAATAAGTAGAGCTATTGCAGTCACCCGAGCGTCAGCGTCGGCGTAACCACTTATGTTAAAGTTTTTGTAATAGTTCAAATATTTTCAAAGTCCATAGACATATGGCTTTGAAACTTTGCACACTTGTTCACCATCATGACCCCAACCTGTAGACAGGAGGAGGTAACTCTATCAAGCATTTTGACAGAATTATGCCCCTTTTTTGGCTTAGAATTTACGTTAAAGTTTTTGTAATAGTTCAAATATTTTCAAAGTCCATTGACATATGGCTTTAAAACTTTGCACACTTGTTCACCATCATGACCCCAACCTGTAGACAAGAGGAGGTAACTGTATCAAGCATTTTGACAGAATTATGCCCCTTTTTCGACTTAGAATTTACGTTAAAGTTTTTGTAATAGTTCAAATATTTTCAAAGTCCATTGACATATGGCTTTGAAACTTTGCACACTTGTTCAACATCATGACCCCAACCTGTAAACAGGAGGAGGTAACTCTATCAAGCATTTTGACAGAATTATGCCCCTTTTTCGACTTAGAATTTACGTTAAAGTTTTTGTAATAGTTCAAATATTTTCAAAGTCCATCGACATATGGCTTTGAAACTTTGCACACTTGTTCACCTTCATGACCCCAACCTGTAAACAGGAGGAGGTAACTGTATCAAGCATTTTGACAGAATTATGCCCCTTTTTCGACTTAGAATTTACATTAAAGTTTTTGTAATAGTTCAAATATTTTCAAAGTCCATTAACATATGGCTTTGAAACTTTGCACACTTGTTCAACATCATGACCCCAACCTGTAAACAGGAGGAGGTAACTGTATCAAGCATTTTGACAGAATTATGCCCCTTTTTCGACTTAGAATTTATGTTTAAGTTTTTGTAATAGTTCAAATATTTTCAAAGTCCATTGACATATGGCTTTGAAACTTTGCACACTTGTTCACCATCATGACCCCAACCTGTAAACAGGAGGAGGTAACTGTATCAAGCATTTTTTTTACTATCAAGCACTAAGAATAGTCGAGCGTTGCTGTCCTACCGACAGCTCTTGTTATACACCCGCATAACAAAGATGTAAGGGGGGTATACTGGAATCAGATTGTCCGTCCGGCCGTCCGGCCGTCTGGCCGTCCGGCGTCCGTCGGTTTTTAGCTCATCTGTCACAAAGTGACAGGGTGAGCTTTTGTGATCGCTTTTCGTCCGGCGTCCGTTCGTCCGTCCGTCCGTAACATTTTGCTTTAAATGACATCTCCTCATAAACCACTGAGCCAAATTACATCCAGACTTCACAGGAATGTTCCTTTGGTGGTCACCTTAAAAAATTGTTCAAAGAATTTAATTCCATGCAGAACTCTGGTTGCCATGGCAACCGAAAGAAACATCTTTAAATATCTTCTTTTAAACAATCCTAAGAGCTAGAGCTTAGATATTTGGCATGAAACATGTTCTAGTGAGTGTCTACCAAGTTTGTTCAAATAAAAGCCCTGTGGTCAAAATTGGCCCCGCCCCAGGGGGTCATTGATTTTCCCTATATGCATATAGTAAAAAATTAAAAAATCTTCTTTTAAAGAACCATAAGAGCTAGAGCTTAGATATTTGGCATGAAACATCTTCTATTGAATGTCTACCAAGTTTGTTCAAATAAAGGCCCTGGGGTCAAAATTGACCCCGCCCCAGGGGGTCATAGATTTTCCCTATATGCATATAGTATAAACTTAAAAATCTTCTTTTAAAGAACCCAAAGAGCTAGAGCTAAGATATTTAGCATGAAACATCTTCTAATGAGTGTCTACCAAGTTTGTTCAAATAAAAGCCCTGGGGTCAAAATTGGCCCCGCCCCAGGGGGTCATTGATTTTCCCTATATGCATATAGTAAAAACTTAAAAAATCTTCTTTTAAAGAACTCCAAGAGCTAGAGCTAAGATATTAAGCATGAAACATGTTCTAATGGGTGTCTACCAAGTATGTTAAAAAAAGCCCTGGGGTCAAAACTGGCCCCGCCCGTGGGGGGTCATTGATTTTCCTTATATGTGTATAGCAAAAACTTAAAAATCTTCTTTGAAAAAACCCAAATAGCTAGAGTTTAGATATTAAGCATGAAACATCTTTAAGTAAATATCTACAAAGTTTGTTCAAATAAAAGCCCGGGGGTCAAAACTGGCCCTGCCCCAAGGGTGTCATTGTTTTTAACTATATGCGTATAGTAAAAACTTTAAATCTTCTTTTAAAAAACCCAATGAGCTAGAACTTAGATGTTTAGCATGAAACATCTTCTTATGGGTGTCTACCAAGTCTGTTCAAATAAGCAAATAAAAGCCCTTGGGTAAAAATTGGCCCGGGGGTGTGGGGGGCCTATATACAGGTGAGCGACCTCAGGGCCATCATGGCCCTCTTGTTTCTTGTCCGCCCAATAACTAAAGATTCCTTTGACCCACAGTCTTCATATTTGGCATGGAGGTTAGTCGTGATTAGTAGATGACCCCTATTGATTTTGAGGTCAAAGGTCAAGGTCACAGGGGCCTTGACTTCAAAAAGTTTGTCCGCCCAATAGCTTAAGATTCCCTTTACCCACAGTCATCATATTTGGCAAGGAGGTTAGTCATCATAAGTAAATGACTTCTATTGATTTTGAGGTCACCAGGTTAAAGGTCAAGGTCACAGGCGCCGTAACTTAAAAATGCTTGTCCGCTCAATAACTTAAGATTTCTTTGACCCACAGTCTTCATATTTGGCATGCTGGTGTGTCATGATTTGTAGATCACCCCCATTGATTTTGAGGCCAACAGGTCAAAGGCCAAGGTCACAGGGGCCTTGACTTCAAAAAGCTTGTCCGCCCAATAACTTAAGATTCCTTTGACCCACAGTCTTCATATTTGGCATGGAGGTTAGTCATGATAAGTAGATGACCCCTATCAATTTTGAGGTCACCAGGTCAAAGGTCAAGGTCACAGGGGCCTTGACATCAAAAAGCTTGTCCGCCCAATAACTTAAGATTCCTATGACCCACAGTCTTCATGATTGGCATGGAGGTTAGTTGTGATTAGTAGATGACCCCTATCGATTTTGAGGTCACCAGGCCAAAGGTCAAGGCCACAGGGGCCTTGACTTCAAAAAGCTTGTCCGCCCAATAACTTAAGATTCCTTTGACCCACAGTCTTCATATTTGGCATGGAGGTTAGTCATGATTAGTAGATGACCCCTATTGATTTTGAGGTCACCAGGTCAAAGGTCAAGGTCACAGGGGCCTTGACATCAAAAAGCTTGTCCGCCCAATAACTTAAGATTCCTTTGACCCACAGTCTTCATATTTGGCATGGAGGTTAGTCATGATTAGTAGATGACCCCTATTGATTTTGAGGTCACCAGGTCAAAGGTCAAGGTCACAGGGGCCTTGACTTCAAAAAGCTTGTCCGCCCAATAACTTAAGATTCCTTTGACTCACAGTCTTCATATTTGGCATGGAGGTTAGTCATGATAAGTAGATGACCCCTATCAATTTTGAGGTCACCAGGTCAAAGGTCAAGGTCACAGGGGCCTTGACATCAAAAAGCTTGTCCGCCCAATAACTTAAGATTCCTTTGACCCACAGTCTTCATATTTGGCATGGAGGTTAGTTGTGATTAGTAGATGACCCCTATCGATTTTGAGGTCACCAGGCCAAAGGTCAAGGCCACAGGGGCCTTGACTTCAAAAAGCTTGTCCGCCCAATAACTTAAGATTCCTTTGACCCACAGTCTTCATATTTGGCATGGAGGTTAGTCATGATTAGTAGATGACCCCTATTGATTTTGAGGTCACCAGGTCAAAGGTTAAGGTCACAGGGGCCTTGACTTCAAAAAGCTTGTCCGCCCAATAACTTAAGATTCCTTTGACCCACAGTCTTCATATTTGGCATGGAGGTTAGTCATGATTAGTAAATGATCCGTATTGATTTTGAGGTCACTGGGTCAAAGGTCAAGGTCACAGGGACCTTGTCAAAATAAAGCTTTTCCCCTCAATTGCTTCAGAATGCCTGTCCAGAGTGTATTGATTTTGACATTTTCACATTTGAAGCATGTAGAATACATAACTTAGCAATGCACTGGCTTGGTTACCTCAGATTTGGCAGGGAGGTTGTCCTTGAGTTCTAAATGGCCACTGTTGATTCTGACAAAGTGGTATGCGGGGGTATTTACGCCATGACAGTGGCAGTTCTAGTATTCTGACAGGTAATAATTAGGATACTGTTGTACTTGCCGTTTTGATTAAATGGTCAGAAATATCGTAAATGTTCACGAAGGAAAATCTTAACTAGTACTTTTCATTGTGTAAATGATTGGAATTTTGAATGGTTAAAAAATTATTTAGTCAGTTATCCATAATTGACATTTCTTAAGTTGTTAACCTTGTTCAAGGTAAATGTCACAATTATAGATAAAGACATTCTCATAAGAAGAGTTTGAAGGCACACTTTTTCATGTCCGGACTGTAATATTGTCATGCATTATAGGATTGTAAAATAATTAGCATTTCTACCACATCAAGACAACTTGTCGTGTTTAAAGTGACATGTTTAAAAATTATGTACAATAGATAAAACACAGAATCCCTAAAGAAAGCCCAACACGGCAAAATTGAAAATGTTGCAGGCACGGTTTGATTGAGCCTGTTCATGGACGGTAATGGAAATTGCAAGTTACCGTCCACGCCCCCTAGCACCGGCTTAAGAAGAATTCAACATTTAACATGAACTAGTAAAATTTAGAATTTTGAAACATCCGCAGATGTGTTCATACGGCGGTTAACATGGAACCTTCAATGTGACACAGTAGTGTCATTCCATGAAAAGCGGCGTATGGTCCCCAAGTAAAAGAAAGCGTGTGCCCTAAACGAGAAAACAATGGGCGGAACTAAATAAAATGGAATTTTGAAAGGGGATCTGAGGTTATGAAGCCTGCATATCACAGACATAACCAAAAAAAACATTAATTTCGTCCAAGGCATTTTGTTATGATTCATATGATTGGAACCATGATAAGCATTATGATTATATCAGTCTTATTTTAGACCCAGGCGAGATATTACAAATTGATGTATGATGCCTATATGTCATTTTAAACAGGCATGTGAGGAAAATAATATTATGATATTGTCTTGCAGAAGCCACAGAGGCATTGGAAGAGTCAATAAGCAAGGGATATACTGCCCAAAACATAGCAGGTATATATACTGTAAATTGCATAGCATTATAATGAACAGTTACTGATATTACTCTATACCGTTTTTACTTTTAAAAAGATAATATTTGCCTTGTCTTGTTCACAACCTCATAACTGAAAGTATTTTGAACATGCTTGCTGTGCTGTTCATATTGATGAACATAAGTCAGCATATTGATAACCAATGTTAAACTACAGAAAATATATGAACGTATGTACAGCAAAGGTGATGCATTTCAATGTTGTTCAAAACTTTTTCTTTTGATTTTGTAATATAATAAAATCTTCTTGATTTGCTCTTCATGGACCACTATCAGAAAATAAACTCGGACATTTATGTTGAAAATCGGCAAAAAACCTTCAAACAAAGAAGTTAATTTTAAACCATAAGCATTTAAACAGTAAAAAAATTTTTTATGTTAGGACACCGCTAATAAATTAATGATGTATTTATATGATTGTATCATAGTTTGGGGAGCTTTCTGTTGAAAATGTGTCAGAGTTAAATCGTATACATATACATGCACAGTGCGTTAACTGGAGTGCAGGTATTAGTTACGGCACTCCAGAGCATGCCCATTGATTGGTTCATTTTTGCTGGAGTTTACTTATTGTGACGGAAGAGAAAGGGAAAGCAACAGAGCTATCATATTCAGATGCTCGTTTATTGGTTACTTCTTCCCAGAGTTTTATATTGTGACAACAGGGAAGGTGTTTTTATGTTTGACTATGATACAAAAGAGAAAGAACATCAAAACATTCGGCAATCTGATTTATACTTGGGGGCTTTGTCCCCTTGTACAAACAGATAGCCTCGTGTTTCGTTGCTCTTTCTATTACTTGTATAACAAACAGCATCAAATAAAGCTCGACTATTTATAAAAAGACAGAGGTATTGCTACAGTCATGGCAGCATTCTAGTTGCCATCCACAAACTTTAACATAGACCATGACTTTTTAAGTTCTTGGTGTTTTTATGCCCCCACAATGTGGGAGCATATAGCGTTGCACTTGTCCGTCCGTCCGTCAATCCGTACGTCCGTCCGTCCGTACGTCCCGAAATCTTGTGAACGCAACTCCTCTTAAACCGGATGGCAGATTTTGCTTAAACTTACAGGGATGAACAACCTTAATGTGTAGATGGTAGTAAAGGAAGGAATTTTCGCTGCGACTAAATTTAACAGAATTATGGCCCTTTGTTGATTTTTTCACTAGATACTATGTAGAAATTTTGTGAACGCAACTCCTCTTAAACCGGATGGCAGATTTTGCTTAAGCTTACAGGGATGAACAACCTTCAGGTGTAAATGGTAGTAAAGGAAGGAATTTTCGCTGCGACCAAATTTAACAGAATTATGGCCCTTTGTTGATTTTTTCACTATATACTATGTAGAAATTTTGTGAATGCAACTCCTCTTAAACCGGATGGCAGATTTTGCTTAAACTTCCAGGGATGAACAACCTTAATGTGTAGATGGTAGTAAAGAAAGGAATTTTTGCTGCAACCAAATTTAACAGAATTATGGCCCTTTGTTGATTTTTTCATTATATACTATGTAGAAATTTTGTGAACGCAACTCCTCTTAAACCGGATGGCAGATTTTGCTTAAACTTCCAAGGATTAACAACCTTAATGTGTAGATGGTAGTAAAGGAAGGAATTTTTGCTGCGACCAAATTTAACAGAATTATGGCCCTTTGTCGATTTTTAGTTTTCAACTTGTGGCACATGTAGTCCAAAAAATATTTGACCTAGAGTCATAAGATTGACAGAACAGTGGCGAGTGGGGGCATCCGTGTCCTATGGACACATTTCTAGTTTCTTAATTCTTTGCCACAACAATCTCTGTGACAAGACTGTCAAGTAGACCAAATTAAACTTAACCTTCATTCGTTAACTGTCAAGGTCAAATTGTTGAATTTTGGTTAAATAGTCTTAATTTTGTTATTTATGTATGGATTTGAATTATACTGGGACAAAAGAAGACATGTTACGAAAAAGACATATTTAATTAGGAAAGCTGCTACCTTGATCTGTAATTGATCTTGAACTTTAAGATCAAATTAATGAAATTCTTTTTTTCATTCTGTAGCTATAACTTTGTTATTTACAAATGGATTAACTTCATATTTATTTTAAATCGCCTCCGTGGTCGAGGGGTTGGAGTCGATGACCTATAATCCAGTTACCTCTCTGGCGTGGGTTTGATCCCCGGGAGATGCTCTGGTAGTTTAGCACAGAGGAAGGTAGTCTAGTCCTGGTGTAACTCTCTAGGAATGATGGTTAGGAAACTACCTGCCTATATGACTGAAATACTGTAAGGAAAAGGCTAAAACGAAACAACAAACAAACAAACAATAACTTCATATTTAGATTTTACATCTTTCCCTTATAGCTAGCTCACATGTCACAAAGTGACAACGTGAGCTTCTGTGATCACAGTTTGTCGAGTGTCTGTCTGTCTGTCTGTCTGCCCATAAACATTTACTTTAAATGACATTTCCTCATAAACTCACTGCTAAGCCAATTTCATTCAAACTTCAAAGGAAATGTTCCTTTGGTAGTCACCTTTCAGGATTGCTCAAAAAATTAAATTCCATGCAGAACTCTGATTTTGCCATGGCAACCGACTTAAAAATCTTCTATCTAAAATTTCAAAGAGCTAGAGCTTAGATATTTGGAATGAACCAGCTTCTTATGAGTATCTGCCAAGTTTGTTAAAATAAACGCCCTTGGATCAAAATTGGTCAAGCCCCAAGGTGTGATTGATTTTCCTAATGTGTTAATAGTAAAAACAAAAGAAAATTTCTTAAAATAAAAAACAAATAGATAGCTAGAGCTAAGATATTTAGCTTGAAACAGTTTCCTGTGAGTTTCTACTAAGTTTGTTCAAATAAAAGCCTTTTGGGTCCGCTTTAAAATAACCCAAAAAAAAGCTACAGCTAAGATAATTAGCGAAACTAAATAGTGTCTACCAAATTTGTTCTTATGAAAGCCTGGGGTCAAAATTGGCCTCATCCAAGGTGGGTCATTGATTTTCTTTATATGTTTATAGTAAAAACTTAATGATTCATCTTAAAAAAAAGAGCTAGAGCTTAAATATTAAGCATGAAACATCCTTAAATGGGTTCTACCAAGTTTGATCAAATTTAAGTCTAGAGTACAAATTGGCTCTGCCCTTGGGGGTCATTGACTTTCCTTATATGTAAGCTAGAGCTTAGATTTTTAGCATGAAACATCTTCTAAGGAATGCCTACCTTAGTTGTTCAAATTAAAGCCCTGGGGTCAAAAATGGCCCAACCCCAGGGGGTCATTGATTTTCCTTACAAGTACATGTCTTTTGGAACTGTTGTTTTCCCTTAACAATAGCAACCAGTTATGTTTATACACATGCGCTATTTCAGATACAAATATGAATTTTTAGCTCACCTGTCACAAAGTGACAGGGTGAGCTTTTGTGATCGCTTTTCTTCCGGCGTCCGTCGTCCGTCCGTCGTCCGTCCGTCGTCCGTCGTCCGTAAACTTTTACTTTAAATGACATCTCCTCATAAACCACAAGGCCAATTTCATCCAAACTTCACAGGAATGTTCCTTTGGTGGTCACCTTTAAAAATTGTTCAAAGAATTTAATTCCATGCAGAACTCTGGTTGCCATGGCAACCGAAAGAAAAAACTTTAAATATCTTCTTTTAAAAAACCATAAGAGTTAGAGCTTAGATATTTGGCATGAAACATCTTCTAGTGAGTGTCTACCAAGTTTGTTCAAATAAAGGCCCTGGGGTCAAAATTGGCCCCGCCCCGGGGGGTCATTGATTTTACCTATATGCATAAAGTGAAAACTTAAAAAATCTTCTTTTAAAGAACTCAAAGAGCTATGGCTAAGATATTGAGCATCAAACATGTTCTAATAGGTGTCTATCAAGTTTGTTCAAAGAAAAGCCCTGGGGTCAAAATTGGCCCCGCCCCAGGGGGTCATTGATTTTCTCTATATGCATATAGTAAAAACTTAAAAAATCTTCTTTTAAAGAACCAAAAGAGTTAGAGCTAAGATATTTAGCATGAAACATGTTCTAATAAGTGTCTACCAAGTTTGTTCAAATAAAAGCCCTGGGGTCAAAATTGACCCCGCCCGGGGGGGTCATTGATTTTTCCCTATATATGCATATAGTTAAAACTTAAAAATCTTCTTTTAAAGAACTCAAAGAGCTTTGGTTAAGATATTTAGCATCAAACATGTTCTAATAGGTGTCTACCAAGTTTGTTCAAATAAAAGCCCTGGGGTCAAAATTGGCCCCGCCCCGGGGGTCATTGATTTTCCTTATATGTGTATAGCAAAAACTTAAAAAATCTTTTTTGAAAAAACCCAAATAGCTAGAGTTAAGATATTAAGCATGAAACATCTTTTAGTGAGTGTCTACAAAGTTTGTTCAAATAAAAGACCTGGGGTCAAAATTGGCCCTGCCCCGGGGTCATTGATTTTCCTTATATGTGTATAGCAAAAACTTAAAATCTTCTTTGAAAAAAACCAAATAGTTTAGATATTAAGCATGAAATATATTCTAGTAAGTGTCTACAAAGTTTGTTCAAATAAAAACCCTGGGGTCATAACTGGCCCGGCCCCAGGCGTGTCATTGTTTTTAACTATATGTGTATAGTAAAAACTTTAAAAAAATCTTCTTTTAAATAGCCCAATGAGCTAGAGCTTAGATGTTTAGCATGAAACATTTTCTTATGGGTGTCTACCAAGTATGTGCAAATAAAAGCCCTTTGGTTAAATTGGCCCTGCAATGTTTGGGGGGGGGGGTTGGGGCGGCCTATAAACAGGTGAGCGACCTCAGGGCCATCATGGCCCTCTTGTTTTGATATCTATTTAAGATGTAGATGTCATATCTGCTTTTGTTTATTATAAAGTAATATTACTTGTTCCTTGTCATGGACAGTTTTATATTCAGGTGAGCCATTTCAGGGCCATCATGACCCTCTCGTTTCTTTAAGCTATGCCATTTGGACCATGTGCACATGCAGTTTCAGATGTAAAATTGAACTTTGGTACCAGCCGCCCCCCATATTTTGATGAATTGACATACTTTCTTATCCTTATCATGTACGGCTATGAAATTTGACCGTGTGCACGGATGTGTAAAATTAATCATTGAACATTATGGTAAGGCCATCCTTAAAAAATGTTTGTTTGCAGTAACCCGACCCAAAATTTTCAAGGTGGGTAGGTAGGTCGATTTTTTTTTTATTGAACTGTACTCCCAAATTAACATGGAATTTCAAAATGCTGGACAATATATGCTTTGATAATCAGTGGTAACAATTAATACATTGATAACTGAATTCTAATTTAATAAGACCTACATTTTATTTCTTCTATTAACCTTTAAAAGAACGAAAACAAAGCACAAGGCATAATTTTCTGATTCAAAAAAATTTTTTTTTTATCCAGACCATGAAAAAAAATTTTGAGTAGGGGCAAATTTTGTGAGTCGGTCGCGTTACTGCAAACAAACATTTTTTTAAGGATGGCCTAATGATTCATACTTTGACAAAACAGCAAGTGTGATGAAACCTACCTTTTGAAATAAAAAAAGGAATTTTTTTTTTTTAGATTTGTTTAAATATTAATATTTTATTTTGCTTGCCTTTAGAAGAAGTAAAACAGTTGAAAGTCTTACCTGTCTGGAGGTTGCTCTTGTTATTTGTGCCATTTGCAACATTCTTTTATGTATTTCAGTGTAGATTGTATCATGCTACAAATGTACATTAAGACTGAGAAGTCAGGAACTAAGTTAAAGATACAAATATGATAATTTTAAATTGAACTTTTGAAAAATAAATCTGAACTCATGATAATGGAGTTAGAGGGTGAGTTATATTGCAAAAAGAAGATTGTTTCTAGATTTAAAATGGAGGATTTTGTGATGTTGGAAATTTATAACATTTATTCTTATTGATGCGTTTTTTATTTTCAATAGTTGTGGTTACTGCCAAATTAGCTTTAGAAGGTGATGAGAGTATCAAACCTCAACTTGAACGAATCAAAGATATGTTCATTGAAGTCATAGAAGGGAAACCAATTCAAGAGATCCTAGACATTCCAAAGGGGTACGAATACATTTTAAAGACGTTCAAAGACCTGCTTTCTCACATAGAACAAACAACTGGTGCAAAAGCAACTGATCCGAAAAAAGCGTGTATAAATCTTCAATTTAGTTGTGAAACTGAAGTGGAAAAACTCAAACTTTTGAAATATTTTGCAAGTGATGACCATAAATATTGTATAGCGGACTTTGCCAATAAAATATCAAATTTTGTTGGAAGTCCAATAGGAGTCCATGTGTCTTTCAAAATAAGTGATGAAAGTTTGTTAAGCATTCTGCAGGAAGGAGGTAAAGTATACAAAACATTTGTAAATCACTTTTTAGTAATTGCATTATTATGCCCCCACTTCGAAGAAGAGGGGGTATATTGCTTTGCACTTGTCGGTCCGTCGGTCCGTAGACCAGAAAGTTTCCGAGTGATAACTAAAGAACCCTTAGGCCTAGGAACTTCAAACTTGGTATGGTGATTGGTCATGACCAGTAGATAACCCCTATTGATTTTGGGGTCAAAGGTCAAGGTCACATTGGCTTTGTATGTTAAAACGGTTTCCGATCAATAACTAAAGAACGCATAGGCCTAGAAACTTCAAACTTGATATGGTGATTGTTCATGACCAGCAGATGACCCCTATTGATTTTTGGGGTCAAGGGGTCAAAGGTCAAGGTCACATTGACCTTGTAGGTAAAAACAGTTTCTGAGTGATAACTAAAGAACCCTTAGGCCTAGGAACTTCAAACTTGGTATGGTGATTGGTCATGACCAGCAGATGACCCCTATTGATTTTGGGGTCAAGGGGTCAAAAGTCAAGGTCACATTGACCTTGTATGTTAAAACGGTTTCCGATCAATAACTAAAGAACGCATAGGCCTAGGAACTTCAAACTTGATATGGTGATTGTTCATGACCAGCAGATGACCCCTATTGATTTTGGGGTCAAAGGTCAAGGTCACATTGACCTTGTATGTTAAAACGGTTTCCGATCAATAACTAAAGAACGCATAGGCCTAGGAACTTCAAACTTGATATGGTGATTGTTCATGACCAGCAGATGACCCCTATTGATTTTGGTGTCAAGGAGTCAAAGGTCAAGGTCACATTGACCTTGTAGGTAAAAACGGTTTCCAAGTGATAACTAAAGAACCCTTAGGCCTAGGAACTTCAAACTTGGTATGGTGATTGGTTATGACCAGTTGATGACCCCTATTGATTTTGGGGTCAAGGGGTCAAAGGTCAAGGTCACATTGACCTTTTAGATAAAAACCATTTCCGATCAATAGCTAAAGAACGCTTAGGCCTAGGTACTTCAAACTTGGTGTGATGATTGGTCATGACCATCAGATGACCCCTATTGATTTTGGGGTCAAGGGGCCAAAGGTCAAGGTCACATTGACCTTGTAGGTGAAAACGGTTTCTGATCAATAAATAAATAACGCTTAGGCCTAGGAACTTCAAACTTGGTATCATGATTGTCATGACCAGTTGATGACCCCTATTGATTTTGGGGTCAAGCGGTCAAAAGTCAAGGTCAAATTGACCTTGTATGTTGAAACGGTTTCCGATCAATAACTAAAGAACGCATAGGCCTAGGAACTTCAAACTTGATATGGTGATTATTCATGACCAGCAGATGACCCCTATTGATTTTGGGGTCAAGGGGTCAAAGGTCAAGGTCACATTGACCTTGTAGGTAAAAACCTGTTTCCGATCAATAACTAAAGAACCCTTAGGCCTAGGAACTTCAAACTTGGTATGGTGATTGGTCATGACCAGCAGATGACCCCTATTGATTTTGGGGTCAAGGAGTCAAAGGTCAAGATCACATTGACCTTTTAGGTAAAAACCGTTTCCGATCAATAACTAAAGAACACTTAGGCTTAGGTACTTCAAACTTGGTATGATGATTGGTCATGACCATCAGATGACCCCTATTGATTTTGGGGTCAAGGGGTCAAAGGTCACATTGACGTTGTAGGTGAAAACGGTTTCCGATCAATAAATAAATAACGCTTAGGCCTAGGAACTTCAAACTTGGTATCATGATTAGTCATGACCAGCAGATTACCCCTATTGATTTTAGGGTCAAGGGGTCAAAGGTCAAGGTCACATTGACTTTGTAGGTAAAAACGGTTTCCGATCAATAACTAAAGAACGCTTAGGCCTAGGAACTTCAAACTTGGTATGATGATTGGTCATGACCAGCAGATGACCCCTATTGATTTAGGGGTCAAGGGGTCAAAGGTCAAGGTCACATTGATCTTGTAGGTAAAAACGGTTTCCGATCAATAACTTAAGAACCCTTAGGCCTAGAGACTTCAAACTTGGTAAGATGATTGGTCATGACCAGCAGATGACGCCTATTGATATTGGGGTCAAGGGGTCAATGTCATAGTGACCTTGTACTTAATGACCGTTTCTGACCAATAACTCAACAACTCAAGTTGCCTTGGTTGATATTTTATGTGCTTTTGGTATACACATTTGAAGGTCTTATGTAATATAACAACTTGGCTGTCATTAATGAGGCCTATGTGATTCATAAAATTTATGTATATATTATTTGGTATGATTTTTTTTAACTTTAATTGCTGCACACAACCTATGGGGTCACAATAATTAACACCTTGTGACTAGTCATGACCAGTAGATACTAGAAAACCCTTATTAATTACTTGTTCACTGGGTCAGAAGTCATGCATAATAACCTGATCACATGACAAATTGGCTGCCGATAGGGGGCATACATGTTTTACAAACATATATTGTTTTGTTTTATTTTGAGCTCACCTGAGCAAATGCTCAGGATGAGCTATTAGGATCACTCTTCGTCCGTCGTCTGTCGTACGTTGTCCGTTCACACTTAGCTCACTCGTCGTACGTCGTCCGTTGTCCGTTCACACTTTTCAAACGACATCTCCTCTGAAACCATAAGGCAGATCATAATGAAACTACACAGGGATGTTCCTTGTGTGAAGCCTTAACAAAGTTGTTCAAAGAATTCCATTCCATGCAGAACTCTGGTTGCGATGGCAACCAAAAGAAAAAACTTTAAACATCTTCTTCTAAAAAACCCAAAGAGCTAGAGCTTAGATATTTGGCATGAAACATCTTCTAGTGAGTGTCTACAAGATTGTTCAAATAAAAGCCCTGGGGTCAAAATTGGCCCAGCCCCAGGGGGTCATTGATTTTCCCTATATTGCATATAGTAATTAAAAACTTAAAAATCTTCTTTTAAAGAACCAAAGAGCTAGAGCTAAGATATTTAGCATAAACATGTTCTAATGGGTGTCTACCAAGTTTGTTCAAATAAAAGCCCTTGGATTAAAATTGGCCCTGCCAGGGGGAGGGGGGAGGGGGCAAAAGTCATTGTTTTTCATTATTTGTGTATAGTAAAAACTTACCATCATGAAACATCTTCTAATGGGTGTCTTCCAAGTTTGTTCAAATAAAAGCCCTTTGGTTTAAACTAGCCCCGCCCTGGGGGCCTATGTACAGGTGAGCGACCCCAGGGCCATCATGGCCCTCTTGTTTACACTTTGCCCTGCACCTTCGCTAATCAGCATGTTGCTCCATGCGGACGCCATTTTAACTTGTTAATAATCGCCTTTTCGCTTGGAGGGGTTGCGGGACAAAAACAGGCTTATTAGTGGGGGCGTGCGGGAAGTTTTATTTATGACTGTGTAACGTTGAAGCATGTTATTGCAAGTTGTTAGTTATTATGACTTTGACATCAATAATTTTTTTGAGTGCGTCACTGTCGCCAACATGTAGAGCTGTCATTGAATATTGCGATATTTATATATCATCGATACTCATCATCAAATCCAATATCGATACATACTTTCAAATATCAATACAAGCTAAAATTTATTTATTTCAGTTAGTGAATTTACCTTTCTACTTTGCCTAATAAGAGAAGTCACTTTTTAGCTCACCAGTAGGTGAGCTATTAGTATCAAAAGGGGATGCTCCGTCGTCATGCGTCAATAATCGTCTTCTTCTCTGAAACTGCTAGGCAGATGTACTTCAAATTTGGTCTGTAGCATCCTTGTGACAGTCACACTTAAATTTGCTCATGTCATTTCAATTGGCCCCTTTTAGGGGTCATCAGAGCTAAAAATAGAAAAAAACTTAAAATATCATCTACTACAGAACTAATTGATTGGGAATTACCAAACTTTGTCTATACCATTCTTAGGTAGTCTGTTATCAAGTTTGCTCATAGTAATTTGATTGGCCCCTTTAAGGGATCTCTAGGGCTAAAAATAGTAAAACCTTAAAACGTCTATTTCTACAGAACTAATTGATGGATTATCACCAAACTTTGTCTGTAGCATTCTTGGATAGTCTTTTACCAAGTTTGCTCATATTAATTTGATTGGCCCCTTTATGGGGCTTCTAAAGCTAAAAATCGAAAAACATTTAAACGTCAATTTCTACAGAACTTATTGATGGATGATCACCAAACTTTGTTTATAGCATTCTTGTGTAGTCTTTAACAAAGTTCGCTAATATTAATTTGATTGGCCCCTTTTAGGGGCTGCTAAAGCTAAAAATCGAAAAACCTTTAAACATTTTCAACTACAGAACTAATTGATGAATGATCACCAAACTTTGTCTGTAGCATTCTTAGGTATTCTTTTATCAAGTTTGCTCATATTAATTTGATTAGCCCCTTTTAGGGGCCACTAAAGCTTAAAATAGAAAAACTTTGAACATTATTTTCTTCTTAAATAATCTTAGGTAGTCTTTTATCAAGTTTGCTCATATTAAGTTGATTGGCCCTGTTTAAGCTAAAGCTTAAATGCCCCAGGTCATGGCATTTTTTCAAATTATTGTTTATAGATATTCTATGCTCAAATTTACTATTAGAATATATTGACAATGGATAATTTCCAACATTGAAAAGCAGTTGTTTCTGGTGAGCGACTTAGGGCCATCCTTGCCCTCTTGTATAGTATATATACTTTGAAAAACTTCTTTAAAACTACAAGGGTTATATCTTAGATATTTAGCATGAAACATTGTCTGGTGAACCTCCATTTAATTTGTTCAAATTATAGATCTTTGGCTAAAACAAACCCCCCTTAGTGGACCATTCTGGCATTCATTTTCCTTATATGTTAATAGTAAAAATGAAAGAAGTTTTCTTCAAAACATTGTCTTATCACTCTTATGAACCTTTGCAAAAAATATATTATTCAAATTATAGCTCTTGGAATCCAAAAATGCCCCGTCCCGGGGAATATATATTTTCCCAAATTTATAAATTAGTCAAAGCTGAAATCAAATTCTTCTTTAAAAAAACAAGGTCTAAAAAATTTAGTTTAAAAAATAAACACATGATAATTTTCATATAAATTTTTTTTAATCTAATACCTGACCAAGCTCTTTTTTTGTGCATATCTTTGTTTTTCCCAGAATTTGATTTTTACCCCCCGAGCAGCCCAGGCTGCCTTTTTACACATTGAACCCCCGAAAATGTCCAAAAATTGGGTTCAAAGGGGTTTTTTGGTTTTTTAAAAGGTCAAGTTCAATTTGGATTTTGGGTCAAAACTAGGCACAACCAAAATATGGAAACACCTGCCAAACTCTACTTTTTCCCTGAATATCAGAAATTTTTTTTGGGTTTTCAATCAAGGTAAATAGGGGTCACCTGGGTAAAAAAACTAGTCCACACCAAAGGGAAAAAAAATGTAAAAACTTCAGGGATACTGTTCCGCCCAATACCCGGGGAAAGGAAATGGGATGGGCCCAAAATAAAGGACAATAAAAGGGGCATCATGATTATTTTGGTCAATTTGGGGCCCTTTCTTTTTTTGCCTCGAAAATTTGCGATTAACCTTTTCCCCGAAAGAAATACTGAAAAAAATTAAAAAAAATCTTCTATTCTCAACTTATAAAACAGAAAAACATTTTGCACAAAACATTTTCTTTGGGATCTTAAGAAAAAGTTTTAAATTATACCCTTGGGGCAAAATGGCCCCGCGCAGGGGGCTTTTTTTCCAAACAGTATAACTTAAAATTATTAATTTTCATCATCCGATGTGGGGTAATAGCGATTCACCTTTTTTTGTGGTTAGGGGTTTGTTGGTTATGTTTAGTGGTTTCAGGGTATATTTTTTTGATCATAAGTAAATTAAAAAAAATCCCTTCAAACCGGTTAGTCCAAAGTCAACCAAACTTTGCAGGTTTGTTCATTTGATGAATGGCTCCAAAAAGTTGTTTGAAAAAAATTTGATTCCGGTATGCAGGAATCTGGTTTCATAGCAACCAAAAAAAATAATAATTAAAATCTTCTAGAGACCCACATTTAGGCCTAGAGCTTTCAAATTTCCCCAAAGTGTCAAAATTGGCCCCCTCCATGGGTCTTAGGTTTTCGGTATATGAATATAGACATTTGTAAAAACTTTAAAAAATGGAATGAAGCATTGTGTAGAAGACCTCTTCCAAGGTTTTTCAAATTATAGTCCTGGGGTCAAATTGGCACCGCCCCAGGGGCCATTGATTTTTATTATGTACATATAGTAAAAACTTGAAAAAAAAATTCTAGTATATATATGAAGGAAAACAACTTTTTGACTATCTTTTTACATGTGTTAATGTTATGCAGTTTTCTATGAAAATATTCTAAAGCTTGGAGTAATTCTATATTTTGCAAAGGGGAAATGTCTGTTTTGAAGATTTTTAGAAGGCAAAAACTCTACGGGGTTTTAGGCTTTCCGGAAAAATTTAAAACTTTTTACACAAAAAAGGGACTTTATTATTCACCAAAAAATTAATTTGCAAAAACAAAAATAAATTTAAAATCATCTTTTTACCTTTTATGGTCGATCGGTTCTTTCAAACCCCTTTTCCCTTTTTAAAGCGCAACTGAGCAAATGGCTCAGGGGAGCTTTTGCCCCTCACCAAGGGTTGTAACTGTCTTTTTTTTCAAACCAGACTGCAAACTTTACGGGGAATGCCCTTTTGTTGGCCCCCTTCCAAAAGTTTTAAATTTGTTTGGGTTGTTTTAAAGTAGATCACAGGGCCAGAAAAGGAGATTCAAAAATGGAAATTAAAAAATATTTTCTTGTCTGAAAGTACAAGGCCCACCTTTGATATTTGGTAAATAAAAAATATTTTCTTGTCTGAAAGTACAAGGCCCACCTTTGATATTTGGTATATGATATCATCTGTAGGTCCACAACCAAAGTTGTCCAAATTCTGTCCTTAGTGTCAAAATTTGCTCCGGCCCGGAGTGGGGGGGGGGGGGGTTTAATAGCTTTTCCTTATATTTTTAAGTTAATAAAAGTATATATGGAGAATAGAAATAGAATATTATATACATGTTCATATATAACAGAGCTTTTTTAAAATTAATATTAATGTTGAAGTTTTCTCTGATTTGTTCATAATCTTCTACTTTAAACAGACTTTCATTCACTTCATTTGTAGATTCCGGAAGAAAGTCTCAAAAAGATTCCTTCAAATTTGATGGTCGATTGATACTTCTTGATAGCAACCAGATACATACTTTGGAAACTTCATTAGATGAAAACCCTATAGGGCAAGGTGGAATTGGTACAGTTTATCGTTTGCAAGTAAGTAAATGTTTTCTTTTTAATAGCTTCTGTTACGTCCATATTTATTTTTTGATGATCTTGACTTTATATAATCTACATACAAGATTGCAGAGTATATTTTATTGTTTTCAGATAAAGGAATTGTGAAGATATATAAATTTGTTACAAATATTTTGTTTGTTCAGTTACACTTTTTTCTAAATAATAATGTATTTAAAATGGTATAAAAGTTTTTAATTTGTAGCATGTCTGTTTAAAAGAGAAAGTAAAACTATGATGCGGCATTGTTGTTGTCATGCAAAAACTTAAAAGTAGCCCATTTCTAAAACAATTATGAATTAATATTAAACTTTGAATGCATGCTTATGGTTACAAAAGGCAGATATAAAATTCAGGAAGTTATCTTGAAAACATTTATTAGTAGTTAATATGCTCTTTTTTAACTTAATTTTTTGTCAAAACTGCTTACTAGTAGAATGATTCAAGAATGATGTCAATGGTATGAAAGTACCAGTGAATCTAGGATACTTTGTGTAACAACAAGGCACAGTTAATAAACAAGGGGCATTAGTCTGAAAGCTATATTGCTATAATTTTTTAGTTATGCCCCTTTTTACTTAGATTTTTTTGTCTTATAATTAATAGCATGATTTCAAAACTATTAAAGCCTTCAGCTTGAAACTTGCAATACTTAATTTTGCAATACTTAATTTTCTTGACAAGGGACAGCTGTAAGACAAGAGACGTTATCCTGAAAGCAATGCATAAAAGAATATTTTTTAAGTTTTTACTATATGCATATAGGGAAAATCAATGACCCCTGGGGCGGGGCCAATTTTGACCCAAGGGCTATTATTTGAACAAACTTGGTAGACACTCACTAGAAGATGTTTCATGCCAAATATCTAAGCTCTAGCTCTTTGGATTTTTTAAAAGAAGATATCTAAAGTTTTTTCTTTCGGTTGCCATGGCAACCAGAGTTCTGCATGGAATTAAATCCTTTGAACAATTTTTAAAGGTGACCATCAAAGGAACATTCCTGTGAAGTTTGGATGATATTGGCTCAGTGGTTTATGAGGAGATGTCATATGAAGTAAAAGTTTACGGACGGACGGCGGACGGACGCCAGACAAAAAGCGATCACAAAAGCTCACCCTGTCACTTTGTGACAGGTGAGCTAAAAAGACAGTCAAAAAGTTGTTTTCCTTCATATATACTAGAATTTCTTTTCAAGTTTTTACTATTATGTACATAATAACAAGAGCCACTGCCGGGCGGGGCAACCCTCGACTTTTTACTTTTCTCGAAACGCAAACATAGAAAGGTTTCATCTTAACGTTTCTTTTTTATAAATTAAGTTGGTCTGTCTTGTCCACATTAGTTTTTTTTATCTTTTTTGTATATATATATATATATATATATATATATATTATATATATATATATATATATTATATATATACAGTCACATTCCTCCATTTACGGGGCATCAGTCTATTTTCAGACCATACTTGTGGCGGTTTATATTTAATGTGGGGCATACATAAGGCCTCGCAAATCTGGCATGTTTAAAACGATGTTATGGGGGCGTAGGCTACCCTTCTAACATAGTGCCCGTAGGCCGGTTTAGTAGTAATGATATATGTCCCACAAATGTATATATTTTAATGGGTTTTTATGTTATTGGTCAATATGTTTTCACCTGTAGGTAAAATTAAAATATATAGTTGATATATAAACTTAGTACCTCTTAGTTCTGTTGTTTGGAAATGTCATTATATGCCTACATAGTGGCATATATAAAAACTGACTGCATGAAATAATTGCCACTCAACTCGGTCTTATAAATAGGCCCCGTAAGTGAAGATATGTGTGATATATATATATATATATATAATATATATTATATATATATATATATATATATATATACAGTCACATTCCTCTTTTAAAGAGGCATCGGTCTATTTCACTCCTCCATTTACGGGGCATCGGTCTATTTGAGACCATACATGTGGGGTTTATATTTAATGTGGGGCATACATAAGGCCTCGCAACTCTGGCATGTTTAAAACGATGTATGGGGGCGTAGGCTACCCTTTTAACAAATTCTTGGCACATCTCATACGTTCCTTGTTTTGTTAATTGGTGATCATCTTGCAGTGATGTGGCTCATTCCTAGTTTTTATTTCAGAATTGTATGCACTGACCTTTCTGATATCCCAACCATCTTAGCTATGTCAGGAAAAGTGTGTCTAGCATCCGTTTCTAAAATTTCCCTGACATTTTTAAGTGTTTTTTAGGGGTTACCGCAGTTGGTTTTCTTCCAGATCTTACCGCCTCTTTGATAGACTCAACACCAGTTTGAAACTGAGCAATCTAGTTTCTAAGAAGTCTATAGGAAACTTCACTATCTCCATAAAGTTGACAAATTTCATTGTAAATTGTTTTCGGTTCAATTCCAAGATGATGACACACTTTGATATATCTCCGAATTTCAGAGGAATGCAAAGATCGTTTCCCAAACATTGTATTACATGAGTGGGTATGTCCTCAATATTTTAAATCACATGTATATCAACTAAAACACACTGGAATGAGATAAACCGGGTATGTATGTATATATAGCTTATGCATTGAAGCGTACGATAAGTAAAATTTCATGAGAATTTGATGCAGAAATTTAAAACAATCTGTTACTGGACGAAACTTGCGCACCCCTCAGATTTATTTTTTGATGATCTTGGCTTTATATATTAACATTCAAGAATACTAAGTATGTTTAAGTTGTTTCTAGGTCGACTTTTTATGCTCCCCGAAAAATTTCGGGGGAGCATATAGTCGGCGCCTTGTCCGTCTGTCCGTCTGTCCGTCCGTCCGTCTGTCCGTCTGTCCGTCCGTTGTCTTGTCCGGAGCACAACTTGAAAACCCTTGGAGATAATTTGTTGAAACTTCATACAGTGGTAGAGGGCATCGAGGGGGAGTGCAGTGTCAAAGAACCATAACTCTATTTTGCCCGGTTTTTGAATTATCTCCCCTTATAGAAAAATCTTGTCCGGGGCATAACTCTAAAACTATAAGAGATATCAACATGAAACTTTGTAGGTGAATAGATCTCAATGGGAAGATGTGCAGTGCATAAGAACAATAACTCTTTTCATCCTAATTTTGGAGTTATTGCCCTTTGTTAATTTTAATACTTTGAACTTTGTCCGGAACATAACTTGAAAACCCTTGGAGATAATTTGTTGAAACTTCATACAGTGGTAGAGGGCATTGAGGGGGGGGTGCAGTGTCAAAGAACCATAACTCTATTTTGCCTGGTTTTTGAATTATCTCCCCTTATAGAAAAATCTTGTCCGGGGCATAACTCTAAAACTATAAGAGATATCAACATGAAACTTTGTAGGTGAATAGATCTCAATGCGTAGATGTGCAGTGCATAAGAACAATAACTCTTTTTGTCCTAATTTTGGAGTTATTGCCCTTTGTTCATTTTAATACTTTGAACTTGAACTTTGTCCGGAAACATAACTTGAAAACCCTTGGAGATAATTTGTTGAAACTTCATACAGTGGTAGAGGGCATCAAGGGGGAGTGCAGTGTCAAAGAACCATAACTCTATTTTGCCTGGTTTTTGAATTATCTCCCCTTATAGAAAAATCTTGTCCGGGGCATAACTCTAAAACTATAAGAGATATCAACATGAAACATTGTAGGTAGATAGATCTCATTGAGTAGAGTGCAGTGCAAAAGAACCATAACTCTGTTAAGCCTTATTTTTGAATAATCTCCCCTTTTTAGAAAAATCTTATCCAGGGACATAGCTGTAAAAAACTATAAGAGATATCAACATGAAACTTTGTAGGTAGATAAATCTCAATGGGGTAGATGTGCAGTGCACAAGAATCATAACTCTACCTTGCCTAATTCTGGAGTTATTGCCCTTTGTTTATTTTACTTTTTGAATTGTCCAGGACATAACTCGGAAATCATAAGAGATATCATCAAGAAACTTTGTAGGTTGATAGATCACATTGATTAGAAGTGCAGTGCAAAGAACTGTAACTCTGCCTTGCCTAATTTTAGAATTATTGCACTTTGAACTTTTTCCACGGACATAACTCTGAAACTATAAGAGGTGTACTTTCCTGTGTCCAAAACCTATTCGGGGAGCATCACCCGGCTCAAACCGGGCTCTTGTTTAAATAAGAAAATAGAGGTATTATTACAGTCATGACAGCATTTAAACAATGCCGTTGCCGTCAAAACTTTACCTTGATCATAACTTTTTAAGTTTTTGGTGTATTGTCTTAGTACTTGGCCACAACAACCCTAAGAAGACCAGGCTTACCATGACCTTCATTAATAAATGACCTTGACCTTCATGGTTAAATGTCTAAATTTTGCCTATCTTTTGCTGACTTTTGCTATTAGTGGCTTTTACTTTTATTTTAATGTATTGTTTTCAAACATGAACATAATAATTTTTAGTATAAACGTTAAGGCTTACCGGACCTTGACCTTCACTCATCAATGACATTGAAGGTCAAATTATTAAAATTTTCATATTTGCTGTAACTGGCAATAACTTTGTTATTCATTAAGTAATTTATTTCATATTGTAACACAAAATTCTTTAGGATAAGACCTTGATGTATATTAAATTGAACTTAGCTCTTTTATATCATTGACCTTGAAGGTTAAATTATTGAATTTTCTCTGATATTTGTTATCATGATTGTAACTTGATACAGGGTCTTTCAAATAGAATGGTTCGGAAACGAGCTATGTAAACCCTTCTCGCTACAATTAAACATGTCTCGGCAGAACTTGGCATAGTTTCCTATACGCAAATTAGGTAAATGTTTAAGAAAAGGGCAAAAATTAAATACAAAAAAGAAAATTATAATGAAATGATGATGTTCAAAAATCTTTAAATTTGTGAAAAAAGGATAAATATTTTAAAAAAATAATGTTTTTAAAGCCATATCTGTTGAAACAACAAAGATTGCTTGT